CTCTCTCTCTCTCTCTATTCTCTCTCTCTCTCTATCTCTCTCTCTCTCTCTCTCTCTCTCTCTCTCTCTCTCTCTCTCTCTCTCTCTCTCTCTCTCTCTCTCGCTCTCTCTTCTTTCCTTTGTTCTGTACTTTTCCATTCTTACCTACGTGTAGCTCTTTGGACTTTTCTTACATTTTTTCTCTTTCTTCTTTTCCGTTAACTCTAATTCCCTGCTATTTGTGTTCAGAAAGCCAGCTTGTGTTTTTTTTTTTTTTTTTTTTCAAATTCGCCATCTATATCCTCTCAACTTCTATTCCCCATTTCCCCCCTTTCGTTTTCCTATTTCCTACTTTTTCAGAGGCTTTGCTGTACCATTCGGGAATTGAACGTCCTTTTTAAAGGAGGAACGATCACATTTGTGGCGATTAGGCCTAATTGTGTTGTATTGTTTGTTAGTGATCTTTGCATCTTCTGTGTTTTTTTTTTTCTCATTCGTAAGTTCTTTTTGCATTGGCTTGTTCCGAGCTTCTGTGCGTGCGTGTGTTCGTTTGATTGCGTGCGTATGTGTCCGTATGTGTGGCATTCATCTACCATATCATTATCCATCTGTTATTTCATTAACAATGCATGTCTGTGGTTTTTAGAAATGAGAATCAGTTCTATCATTTCCCAAAGGTTCATTGAGTTACACTCGAACGGGTACGCTCACTTGAACTGGATTTGGTAGGTTGATCTCGTTTTTAGACTTCACAGATTGTGTTGTTTCATGTGGTAGTTGATTATTCAAAAGCTAAGCTATTGACCTCCCCCCCATGCTAGGCAGGGGATGGCGGTAGCTTAGTTTTTGGGTTGTTAACTGTCACGCATTTTATCATGTGCATGTGCATCATTCATGACATATCACATGCATTATATAGCATCATTCTATGCATTATGCATTGTATAGCATCATTTATGCATTACGTATGCATCTCTTTATCATTACACAACATCATCTAACAGTAACATATAATGCAAACAGTACAGCAAATCTACACTAAACAATTGCAAAAATATCATTTGGTTTAATGCACTATGAACAGTACCGTATTCAAAACTGCTCAACATGCATACAGTATGGGAAGGGTATTATTGTAGTTGACAAAATTTATTTTCATGATTTTATAAAATTTTATAATAAAATATGAAAATAAAATTTGGCAAAATCGATCGTAAAGGGTTGCTTCGCAACCCAAAAAAAAGACAAGGGCAGATGCAAAAGAAACAGGGGGTAAGCTGGAGGGGAAGCTAAAGGGGAGCAAGGATAGTACGGGGGGAAGTAAGGAAGGGTAAGCGAAGGGGGGAGGAGGGGAAGGAATGTGCAGCATGTGAGGGCGCTGCAGCTCCCTCACGCGCGCCAGCAGCATGAACGCACTCACCTGCCGGCAGGGTAAAGAAGGCAAGGGAAGGGCATGGCAGGGTAGAACAATGCACGGAGAGAGGAGAGGGAGAGAGGCATGTAGGGAAGATATGCAGCAGTGGTGACAGGGTAACACGGGAGAGGCTTGAACTCAGTGGGTGGTGGGAGGTGCAAAGCTGATTGTTTGACAACTGTCGAGCTGACGAGCGCATTCGTAAGCAGGGCGAAATGAGGGGAAGGAGGGCGAAATGAGGGGAAGGAAGGAAAGGGGGAAATGAGGGTAAGGAGAGGGCGAAATGAGAGGAAAGAGGGGGGAATGAGGGGAAGGAGAGGGGGAAGGAGGGGAAGGAGAGGGGGAAAGGAGGGGACGGAGAAGGGAAACGTGGGAAAGGAGAGGGGAGAAATGAGTAGACAGAGAGGGGGAAATGAGGGGAAGGAGACGGGGAAATGAAGAGGGAGAAAGGGGGGAAGTGAGGGTGAGCAGGGGGGAAAATGAGAGGGACCAGGGGGGAAATGAGAGGGAGCGGGGGGGAAATGAGAGGAGGAAAGGGGAAAATGAGGGGGAGAAGTGGGGGAAAGGAGAGGGAGAAGAGGGGTAAATGTGAGGAAGAAGGGGGGGAAATGAGCAGGAGAAGGGGGGAAATGAGAGGGAGAAGAGGGGAAATGAGAGGGAGAAGGGGGGGATATGAGAGGGAGCAAGGGGGGACTTGAGAGGAAGGTTGAAGGGAACTGAGAGGAAGAAGGGGGGAAATGAGCGGGAGCTGGGGGGGGGGGGAATGAGAGGGAGCAGGGGGGGAAATGTGAGAAAGAAAGGGGGAAAATGAGAGGGGGAAGTGGGGGAAAGGAGAGAGAGAACGGGGGGAAACGTGAGGAAGAAGGGGGGGAATGAGCAGGAGAAGGGGGGAAATGAGAGGGAGAAGAGGGGAAATGAGAGGGAGCAAGGGGGGACTTGAAAGGGAGCAGGGGGGGAATTGAGAGGAACCAAGGGGGAAAATGAGGGGGAGAAGGGGGGAAAGGAGGGCAAGCAGAGGGGAAAATGAGGCTACGCTCCTTGGAAATCGAGGGGGGAAAAGAGGGAGGGCTAGCTGGGGAGAAATAGGGGCAAGGTGAGGTGAGAGCGATCCGGGAAGATAGGAAAAGGGAGACCTTTCGAGGCGCGCACGGAATTTGAGGCGAGTCTAGGGACATTCGCGCAGTAAGGGACGCGAGCAGCAGGTGAGGCCAGCAGAAGGTGAGGTGAGAAGCCGGTGACGTGCTAAGTGAGGCGAGCAGCGAGTTACACGAGAAGCGTGTGACGCGCTAAAGTTGAGGCAAGCAGCGGGTGAGGCACTAAGCGGGTGAGGCGCTAAGCGGGTGAGGCGCTAAGCGGGTGAGGCGCTAAGCGGGTGAGGCGCGCGGAGGGATGTCCGAGAAGCGGGTGACGCGCTAAGCGGGTGTCGCGAGCTGCAGGTGATGTAAGAATCTCGCCGGCGAGGCGCGCTCGACAAATGTCTCGCGGCGGCCCGTCCGATTGCAGACGGCGCTGAAGCTAGAGGGAGCTGGCGGGCTCGATAGATGCTAGCGCTGAAGCCTATAATGTACATGTTCCCTTACCATCAGCATTTATTTGAGTGATTGCACGTTCTGCTCGCCGCCTCCTCGACTCCCATGTAGTTCAATCTAGGCCTTTCTCAGTAGTTGGTGACGGGAGAGTTCCTCGTGTTTGAAACCCTAAATGCAGGTTGGCTTCAAATTTTCGCCAGCCCCCTCGCCAAGGGCATTCGGTTTCGTTGTGGCGAAATCTATTTGGCTACTGTACAAACACCAACAGTACTTTCAAATGTATACCAAAGCTTTAAGCGACCTGAGCCATCAATGTAAGTCTAATGCGGCCTCAAAATTTGGGCACCTGTTCTTTTCTCGCCGACGCATCATATCATTGCCTCTTCCATCGCCTCACCTGTTCAGATGAGCCCTGCATGTGCATGGGCGAAATTGTGGCTTCCGTAGCGGCTGTACCGAGGAGTCCGCACGAGGTGGAAATGTACCTGTGCACAGGAAGTGCCGAGGCACCTGTGCACGAGGTACTGTACCGTTCGCGGATGCAGCAGCAGCACCTTGTGCACAGGTGCAAAGGGCGTAGCTGGTGCAGAGGGTCGCGGAAGTTCATGTGCGCAGGGTCGCGGTAACCCCTGCGCACCCACGCGAACGCAAGATTGAATTTCGACGAGAAATTCGATGTGCGTGAATTTCGACCAATAGGAGTGCAGGGAAGTTTCGACCAATCAATTTCTGGTGGAAATTGTACCCGCCAGGAGAAATTGAACCTGCAACAGAAGGAGAACCTGCTACACGTTTTTGTAACTACAAAAACGTGCATACCTATGCATGTACAACCTGGACAACTACCAAGTTAGGTGGGCTTGTTGTTTTACCTGCCATTGCTGAGTTGGCATAGCACATGCATGGTAGTTAGCTAAACGTTCCCCTAGGAACGTTTCCGCAGGGTTCTTTGTTCTAGTATATGGTTCTCTTGCTTGTACTATGTTATTGTTCTACCTCTTTCTTAGTGAAACCTATGCTTGAATTCTGCTAAGTCAACAAGCAACTCTGTGAAGAGCAACACCCTGAATTCTACCCATCGCGACATCACGCCATCTCCCTCGTAGGTTAGAATTGTCCGCATCACCAAGACCACAGGTGGGACTTGATAACGTAGCTTGGCAATTCGAATTTCCATATTTCAGCTCCTCCCAAACCGCTCTTCAATCTCCCCTTGCAGCCGGAATCGCACATCAGTCTTCGTTCGGGCAGTTTATTCTCACGCCTGGCTATTCGGACGACTTGGGCATTCCCTTGCTCGTCTAGGATACCCTACTCCAACGCAAACTGAAGCAGCAGAGGGTGCCAAAACGGAAGCCGGTGCCGGCGCAGAGGCAGAGGAAGAGGCCGGTGCCGACGCAGAGGAAGAGGCCGGCGCCGGCGGCGGAGCAGCAGCCAGCGGCGGAGCAGCAGCCTGCGATGCAACAGCAGCCGGCGGCGGAGCAGCAGCAGCCGGCGGCGGAGCAGTCGCCGGCGGCGGAGCAGCAGCCGGCGACGGAGCAGCAGCCGCCGGCGGAGCAGCAGCCGGCGGCGGAGCAGAAGCAGGCGGCGGAGAAGCAGCCGGTGGTGGAGCAGCAGCCTGCGGCGGAACAGCAGCCTGCATCGGAGCAGCAACCGGCGGCGGAACAGCAGCCGGCGGCGGAACAGAAGCCGGCGGCGGAGCAGGAGCCGGCGGCGGAGCAGCAGCCGGCGGAGGAGCAGCAGCCGGCGGAGGGGGGGCAGCAGGCATAGGTGCAGCAGTAGGGGACGGAGGGGCAGCAGCAGGGGACGGAGGGGCAGCAGCAGGGGACGGAGGAGCAGCAGGTTGCGACGGAAAAGTTGGAAGCGCAGAAAATAGCCGAGGATCAGGCGGCCCTCGAAGCGTGGATCCAGGCGGACAAGAAGGCGCTGGATGAGCAGTATGAACAGGATAGGTATAATCAGTATGAGAAGGAGATGGCGGCGGAGCTGGAGAGGCAGGATCGGCTGCACGGTCTGATTCCGTAGGAGGAGAGGAGAGGCCTGGATGATATTTTCAGAGAGGAGCATGATGTAGCATGGCTTTGTTTGCTTTTGAGGCGCCTGAAAAGCAGCAGGATATGGCGGCGGAGTTGGAGAGGCAGAATCGGTTGCACAGTATGTGATTCCGTAGAAGGAGAGGGCCGGAGTGGAGGGTCAGAGACTCTCTGCACCTCGGAGGTGCATGAGGCAGCATAGTGTTGCTTTGTTTGGTTTTGAGACGTCTCAATACTTGCATGGTGTGGTGTGATTCCATAGAATGAGAAGCCGGAGTGGAGGTTCAGAGAAGTTCGTGAGGTTGCGTGGCTTTGTTTGTTTGTATGATGTAGTTTGCTTGTTTTGTATGATTGCTTTCTGACTAGCAAGTGTTGGCATGGAAAATCAATTTCAGGCCAAAAGGTCGCCTGGCGCCAGGTGTGGATGCTATGCATTCTAACAGTGGTATATGCAATGCTATGCATTCATGCTCAGTGTCATTAAGTGAAACTTAACATGCACAAACGGCTATGCCAGGCTTAGCCTAGGTTTCCTTTCCCAGTTTGTTAGAGACTCTGACGTAAACAAAAAGTGCTAAACCACATAAACGAAAGCAGTGCTTATTATGAGGAGGGACTCCACACGTACCGTAGGTTTGCGAAAGGTCACAGCACTAGTCCTAGAAACTATTTCCATAAAACGGGTATTTGGGAAGGAGTTAATTTTTTGGTGCACTACGCGAAAACAGAGAGCCCTTGGCACTCGAGTGGTTGTTAGAGAGTACTCTATGTCGTAATCCACAAAGGTTTGAGTTAGGCTGTGGATGTAAAAGTTGAAGGGGTTCTTATTTTTTATGTTCCACTCAATACAATGACAAGTAATAGTTGGCAAGGATGTGATGCTGGCGAGGGTAAACCAGGTTACAGCCCGTTCATCTCCTAGTAAACCTACCTGAAGGCAACTCAAGCCGGACGATGGCAATGTTTTTTTCGAGGCGACACCAGTTTGGCTTCGGCGACACATCGATCTGTAAGCGAACTCATTTCGCCAGTCGAACAGCTCGCGCCATACCTTGCATTATTCATTTCGCCGCGTTCTGGGTGCTGTGGTTGGCGCTCGAGCGTGGCTAATTGGAACAAGAATTCTGATTGGAGGATTGCCCTACAAAACTTGCATTATACGACCTCCTATAATTCAGTGCGATTCGCCGTGGCGATAGATGAGTTGAACTTCCAGTGTTTCTCTGGAACCCAGCACTCGCATAAAATCCTAATTCCCGCAGTTCCTCTTCACCTTACATTTCTACAAGCCACTCCAGAACTGCACAGTGCATTACTCGTCTTAGTTTCGCACTCTCAGTTGATTAGTTCGCACTCTCAGTTGAAGTTTCGCACTCTCAGTTGATTAGTTTCGCACTCTCAGTTGAATAACCCCGAGGCATCGAGCTCTCGTCAGTATGCTGCTCGGATTTCTTCTCGTGCTGGTCTTGTCTTGCGGACCGCGTGACAGCGAAGGAGCGAGTCGGGGGCGACTTCTAATCGATCATAACGAGCACGATCTACGTACGAGAGTTTGTTTCTACCCGCAATATTTCGTCACGTGCATCCCCTACATATTCGTATTGCTCTTTTGTAGTCGTTTCGATTTCCGGAGACTTAGCTATTATTTCCATTTCCTCACATTTCCCTTCTCCATCGCCTCGGACAGGCGGAGTCGCACACCAATCGTCATTCGAGCAATCGATCTCCGCTCCTGGCGAATCGGGCGACGCGCAAATTCCCTTGCTCTTTGAAGACTCTACCCTTCCGCGCAAACTGCAGCAGCAGGGGCAGCAGAGTCCACGCTGAGGCAGATAAATCGACAGATGCTTACAACCGGACAGAAGCAGCAGCAAAGCGGAAGAAGAAAGCAGAATCCGGCGAACCAGAAGACGCCGACGAGAAGGCGAACGGAGGGAGCGAATAGAGCTTAGAGAGATGCTTCCTCTCTAGAGATCTCTCTCTCTATCTCTCTCTCTCTCTCTCTCTCTCTCTATCTCTCTCTCTCTCTCTCTCTCTCTATCTCTCTCTCTCTCTCTCTCTCTCTCTCTCTCTCCTCTCTCTCTCTCTCTCTCTCTCTCTCTCTCTCTCTCTCTCTCTCTCTCTCTCTCTCTCTCTCTCTCTCTCTTCTCTCACTCTCTCTCTTTCTCTCCATGCATATTTTTTAGTGTGACTTTTCTCATTCATGCCATTTTTCTTAAAGCGCTGCTTCCTCCGCACCACCTCTCCTTTCAGCCTGCTATCCCGTTATCCCGCCATCCCGCCAGCAAGAATTCTTCCCCGAGGTGGTGGGGATGACGGGATAGGCAGCACCCAAGCAGATCCCGGGCCAGGCTTCCGTGCACCGCAGTGGTTGCCATCGTTTTGAGTGCAGCTATAATCCGATGTTTTTCTTTCTGTCTAACAATGTTTACTCCCATGCGTCGCAGCAAGACATCCTGGCCCGAGGTGGTGGGGATGAAGGGGGAGGACGCTCTCAAGCAAATCAAAGCCTCCGTGCCGCCTACGTGGAGCGTTGGCATCATTCCGAGTGGGTTTATGATGACCGCGGATTTCCGATCCGATCGAGTCAACATCTTTGTGGACAAAGCTGGGATCGTTCGTAGAGCTCCCACGGTTGGGTAGAAGACTTTTGAGGCGCCTAAAAGGATCAGTATCAGTGGGGCTATCATCACCTCGGAATTCCGAACCGATCGCGTAAACATCTCCATGGACAAAGCTGGGCTTGTTCGGGGAAACTACAGGGTTGGGTAGAAGCAGCCATATCAGGCGAGTGCGCAGCAGGAAACCAGGCAAGGCTAGACTGGGAAATGTGGAAGCGGTAGATGCAGGAGCAGCAAAGTGCGGAAAGAATCCCGGGTTATAGGGGAGCAGGAGATTTTGGAGCAAAAAAGGGTTATGAAGTGGTGTGGTTTCGTTCGTTTGTAAGATGCTGGGTACTTGTTTCTCTGATGCTGATGGTGTGCTTGTACGATGCTGGGATTATTTGTGTGTGATGCTGAATGTTTGCTTGTAAAGTCTGGATTCTGTTTCTATGTGTTTGTAAGATGCAGTGAAATAGTTTCTACGATGCTGTATGCGTGCTTAAGATGCTGAGCATTTGTTTCTATGATGCTGTATGTGTGCTTGTAAGATCCTGGGAGTGTGCCTGTAAGATGTTGAAAGATTGAGAGAGGAGCTGCTGGGAGTGGCAGGTAGGAGCAGCAGAAGTTGTAGAAGCATGAAGTGGCAGGGGAGAGTAACAACAGCAGGGTTAGTAGAACACTAAGGTTTGGTCTGTATGGACAACGCAGTACAATGGATATCGTCATTAGTAATAACCCTACAAGTGTATCCAGAGGATGCTAGGCACGCCAACAAAAGATGCTAGGCACACCAACCATCTTCAAGGGGGACAACACGGCACACCTGCCCAACCTAACTCCAATTGCCGTATCTACTGTAGGATTGAGGAACGTATGGGTGCATTTAAATTGCACTTAAGCCTTGTAAAATTGTGGTAATTTGCAACTTTCACCATCTGGCTGGCACCATGTGTTGGTCAATTATTTTCCTGGTTATTGGAAAGAGTGAGGAACGCTTTGCAGAATGGTTTTCCTACTACATTTGACAGATAGGCCTTTTACATGAAGTGTAACAAATTCTCTCGCCTGCATTATTGGTTGCTTCGAACTCGAGTTTGGCGGTTACAGTGTCCCGCGCATCTGGCAGTTTGCCTGTCGTAAGAAAGCGAATCATGGCGAAACTAGTCTAGTTGAGCAAAAATATTCGCCGCGCCGCGGATGCTGTGGTTGATTTGGCGCTCGCGCGTTGCATTATCGCAGTTGCATTATTGGATTAGGAAATCTGGATCCTCTCCTCTCCCGCCATCCAACCACAGCTTGCGGCGAGGCAAACTTATCGTGTGCTGTGGAAATTCTAGATTGGTTTGATGACCACCCATGCTCGGTGTTTTCTCCCCTTTCAACCTCTTCCTAGTCCGTTCTTCCTAATTTTCGGAATCACCCACTGTGAGCCACTTTTCTTACGGGAATAAGCGCCCGTGTCAGAGACCCCAAGGAGACTCAAGACTTTCTTGAAGAATTTCCTGCCAACTTTTCTCGGAGAATTTCGCCATTATGTTTCTGGGGTTCCTTCTCGTGCTGGCCTTGTCCTACGGGCCGCGGGTCGAAGGAGCTCGAGGAGAGGGAATTCCAGCCAATCGTGATCAGAGCAATCGACGTAAGACAAATTCTCGCTGCCGAGACAACTAACAGTGTGAGGAAATGATGAGGAAAATGCGAAGAGGGGATCGGCAACGGAGTTTTTGTACTTTTTTTTTCGCCGACGTAACATTCCCTAATCTGGTGTATTTTCTTGTGCTCCTTTCTACGTTTACATTCCTAACACCTGTCGATTCTTGTGCTCCTTTTAACTCGAGTTTGAGAAGCTCTCTAGACTCGTTGTGCTCTTTAGACTTACCCTGGCATTGCTCCTAATAACATTCGTGATTTCCGGTGCCGCAATTTTCAGAATGTCAACATCCCTTGTTGGCTCTTTCAAGCTCATTTCCATCCCTTGTTGGCTCTCAATCCTCCCAAACCGTCCGTGTTACAGTCGAAATTGTAAACGAAGTCTCGTTCGGAAAACTCTGGCAACTCGCGCAGTCTCTTTCTCGCCCAAGATGCCTCTTCGCAGAGCAAACTGCAGCCGCAGGGGGAGCAGCAGAGGCAGAGGCAGCTGGAGCTGAACCGGCTTCAAGCGGAGTTGCCAAGGAAGGCCATGCTTGCATTTCGGGAATCGGAGCCGCAGGAGGAGTCGAGGAAGCAGGAGCAGCTGAAGCAGCAGCAGGAACACGAACCGCTTGAGAAGGAGCGGCCCGAGTTGAAGCAGCAGCGGCTGGACAAGGAGAAGGAGTTGAGCCGCATTCAAGCGGAGGCGTCGAAGAAGGCCTATCTGGAATACCAGGAAAGGCAGCGACAGGAGGAGCTGTATGAACAGCAGGAGCGGCAGAGGCAGCGGGGACGAAGCATGGTGACCTGCGTCCGGCGGAAAAAAAATTGCACCTCAGGCATGTGTAAGAACGGGGAGACGTGCAAGCCAATGAATACGTGCAGGGGGTATATTTGCCTGGCGGATCGTTCTAATTTGCAGACCAAGACGCCCAGGAAGAAGCTGGATAAGATTAGTAAGAGCCCCGAACAGGGTCTTTGGCTCCGGAGGAGGAGAAGAGGACGATTGGAAAGCCAGTGGAGGAGAGTGATAAGGGAAAGAGGAGCAATGGGAAGGTACTATGGCAGTCAAGCCCTTAGAGACGCCTTGCAGGGAGTGTGAAAACGAGTGTGGTATTGGGCAAGGGGAAGCGGGAGGTTGAGGGGCAGGGGGGAGGGGAGGTTAGGTTTGGGTGGTTATGTTTGCATTTGTAAAATGCATCTTTTGACATGAGAGTTGTGTTGTGCAATGTTGAGCCACTACTTGGTATTTTGCCGTGTCATGTTATTCTGATGTGAAGCGTGGGAGCTAAGGACTGTTGATGAGCTAGGACAGGAGCAGCAAGAGGCCAAAAAGGGGAGGATGAAGGGGGTCATCCAGGTTTTGAGTGAGGGGTTTACCTAGTCATTAATTAATATAGGAACATGGGCTTGCGTAATAAAGGAAAATTTGAATTTCATACGCTTTATGTGACTGTTTGGCAACTACCGTATTTACCCGACTAATACACCCCCGGGTTTAATCCTACGACGCAGCCGGACGAGTGGTGACGACGCAGCCGGACGAGGTGACGACGTAGCCGGACGAGGTGACGACGCAGCCGGACGAGGTGACGACGCAGTCGGACGAGGTGACGACGCAGCCGGACGAGGTGACGACGCAGCCGGACGAGGTGACGATGCAGCCGGACGAGGTGACGACGCAGCCGGACGAGGTGACGACGCAGCCGGGCGAGGTGACGACACAGCCGGACGAGGTGACGACGCAGCCGGACGAGGTGACGACGCAGCCGGACCAGGTGACGACGCAGCCGGACCAGGTGACGACGCAGCCGGACGAGGTGACGACGCAGCCGGACGAGGTAACGACGCAGCCGGACGAGGTTGTCGAGAAACGCTAGCAAAGTTAGAAACAGAAAAGAGAGGGTTGCACTAGCAGCAGATAGGATACATATAGCAAACCCAAATTTGGGCGTACTCACTATAGAGTACCCCACTGCAGACTAGACAATTATAGCATTCTGACACACCCCCATAGGCAAAGTGGGGTATGATCAGCACAACAAGCAATCGCATAAGAAGTTCACAAGTACAAGCAAAGCTAGAGGCAGTCACAGAGGGCAAGTGAGGAGGAGGAGGGACTGTGAGAGGAGTGGAGATAGGAGGCGACGGGTGAAGCCGCAGACACACGGGCAACAAGAGCGACGCGCACGGTGGCTACCGGAGCAAGGGCCCCGGACTACAGGAGTAACTGGCTCCGCGGCTAAGACGAGCGGCAGGAGCAACGGACCCACGGGCGACTGGCGCAGCAGGCTCGCTGGGCTACCGGAGCAAGGGCCCCGGACTACTGGCGCTGCTGACTTCACCACGGCTACCTCCGCTCAACCTCCCCCAACTGTCCCACACCCCTTTCACACACCCCTTGCTGCACCCCTAGCTCCACTCCCACGACACCCCCCTAGCGCCACTCCCTCGGCTCCCACACACCCACCCCCTCAGCGGCAGCTGCAGCAGTGGGAGACGGAGGAGGAGGAGGAGCAGGGGACGGCTCACACACCCGCCACCCCCATACCCGCCACCCCCATACCCCCAACGCAGGCGGCACACGTGCGGCGCAGGGCAGATACGCGGGCAGCAGCTGGGGCGTCGGCGAGCGGAAGCGGGGCGGCCCGCGGGTCCCCGGGGCGCTGCGACGGGCGACGGGCAGGGCGGCTTGCGGGCCCCCAGGGCGCCGCAACGGGCGACGGGTAGGGCGGCGCGCGAGTCCCCGGGGCGTCGCGACGGGCGACGGGGAGGGGGCGGCGCGCGGGCCCCCGGGGCGCCGCAACGGGCGACGGGAGGGGGCAGCATGCGGGCACCAGGGGCGCCGCGACGAGGCGACGGGAGGGGGCGGCGCGCGGGTCCCCGGGACGCCGCGACGGGCGACGGGAGGGGACAGCGCGCGGGCCCCTTGGGTGCCATGCCGGGCGACGAAACCGCCGCGCGCGCCCGGGGCGCGCGACGGGAAGGAATCCGCCACGCGTGTCAAATTATATATGCATTCTATATGTGTAGGCTGTAGTGGGGTAGCTGATATGGGGTATAGCCCCTTTAGGGTTTCATACTTGTACCCAACTTTCATCTAGTTCATTCATTCCTGCCTGTAGTTTCTGACATGGTTTCAGAGCAGTAGGTCCGTAGGACCGTTTTTTTTCGGGCCCACCTACCGTTGCGGTTATTGAGCTGCCCCACGTCTTGCCTGCGCTTCGCCGCCCGCGCGCGCCCTGCCTTGCTTGCGTTGCGCCGCCCGCGCGCGCCCTGCCTAATGAGGTTGGTCTTTTGCTCTCCGTTCCGTGTGCGCCTGTCTGCACTTTCATGTTTCACACGCTCTTGTGATAACCCAGCAATCCGCAAATGGGTTACGGTATAAGCTCCTAAAAGAGGTGTGGGTGTGCCTTTGTTGTGGTTATTGCAGGAGGCTACTAAGCTGCTTATGCAGGTCTACAAGATGGACTTCCGTGTCCCTCTGAACAATATTAGTTACTGGCCACCGAAAGCCCTTGAAAAGCCTCCGTGACGTGCTGCGCTGCGCGCGCCGTCCTGCAGCCTTCACGCTGCCTGCTGCTGCCCCGCGTCGCGCTGCCCCGCGCACGCCCTGCCCTGCCCTGCGCCAGCGCCCTGCCCTGCGCCAGCGCCCTGCCCTGCGCCGGCGCCCTGCCCTGCGCCAGCGCCCTGCCCTGCGCCAGCGCCCTGCCCTGCGCCAGCGCCCTGCTCTGCGCTAGCGCCCTGCCCTGCGCCAGCGCCCTGCCCTGCGCCGGCGCCCTGCCCTGCGCCAGCGCCCTGCCCTGCGCCAGCGCCCTGCCCTGCGCCAGCGCCCTGCCCTACGCCCGCGCTGCTGCCCTGCGCGTCGCACCCTACGGCAGCCCGCGCGTCGCGCGCTGCTGCCCCGCGCGTCGCGCCCTACGGCAGCCCGCGCGTCGCGCGCTGCTGCCCCGCGCGTTGCGCCCTACGGCAGCCCGCGCGTCGCGCGCTGCTGGCCCGCGCGTCGCGCCCTACGGCAGCCCGCGCGTCGCGCCCTACGGCAGCCCGCGCGTCGCGCGCTACTGCCCCGCGCGTCGCGCTCTGCTGCAGCCCGCGCGTCGCGCCCTGCTGCCCTGCGCGTCGCGCCCTGCTGCAGCACGCGCGTCGCGCCCTGCTGCCCTACACAGCGCGCGCCCTGCACAGCGCGCGCCCTGCTACCCGCGCAGCCCAGGCCGAGCCGAGCCGCCCTACCCGACCCGATCCGCCCTCCTGCTCGTGCTACTACTGCTGCTGGTGGAGGTGCTGCTAGGAGTGCTAGAGGTGCTGCAGCCTAGCCTCACCGGGCCGCTCTACTGCTCTTACTGCTGTTGCTGCTGCTCGTGCGCCTCCTCGCTTACCCGCTATGACTTCCCTTCGTAGTAGCGGTGGGAGTGGTGACGGCGGTGGTGGCAGCAGTGGGAGTGGTGGCGGCCGTAGTAGCAGTCGCTGTGGAGCTGTTCGGTGGGGAGTGTCTGGCGGTGGCCAGATGCAGCTGCAGCGGCGTCCGCGCGAGACCCTTACGCCCCAGCAGCTTCGTGAGTGGTACGCCAGGTGGTGTGCTGGCGGCGGCCGTCGTGGCAGTCGCGGTGGAGCTGGTCAGTGCGGAGTTCCTGGCGGTGGCCAGATGCAGCTGCAGCGGCGTCCGAGCGAGACCCTTACGCGCCAGCAGCTTTGTGAGTGGTACGCTCAGAGTGGGGGGTGTAGGAGTACTGCCCGCTGCCCGTACGTCATTCGCACAGGTGATCGGGCTGGTCAGACTTGCGGGACGCTCTCTCACACACAGGCTCGCTGCTTCACCCGTCTGAGTGACGGCTGGCGTGCAGTGTTTGGCGACGAGGCTGAGCTCCCCCCCTGGCTAGAGCTGCTGCGCAACAAGGTGGATATCTTTGCTCTAGACTATGACACTATCCTTACTGCCATGTATGCTCTGACTGGTACTACTGAGGGTGACTGTTACCTGTGTGTGCCCCCTGATCCTGGTATAGCGGCTGCTGCTCTAGGTGCTAGTGAGTTTGCTCTCTCTGGTATTGCGCCTGCTGAGGCCTTGCACACCTTTACACTTGACTCTGGTGCTGTCGACCCTGGAGCTGGAGGTGTCGGTTCTGGGGGTGATGCTACTGGAGGTACTGAGGCTGGAGACCCTGGCGCTGGAGGTGCCGGTTCTGGGGGTGCTGTTGCTGGTGGCGCTGGAGCCGGAGGTGCTGCTGCTGGAGGTTCTGGGGCTGCTGGAGGAGCTGGAGTTACTGGTGCTGGTGGCACTGCTGTGCAGCGGCTGTTCTTCTCTCCGCCGTCACCGTCATCTCTGCCGCTGTATGGCTCCGTGCTTCGCCAGGTTCTTAGGCTCCCGTCTTCTACTGGTCTTCGGTTACAGCCTGGTTTACCACAGCCTGCTCCTTCTCCTTACACTGAGCAGACAGGAGGTCCTGCTGAGCGTCGTGAGCCTGCGTCTCGTCCTGTCTCGCCTGTTCGCACTGTTCGCACTGGTCGTCGTGTTCCTCGTGAGCGTCCGCCGGCTGTCCCCGGCACGCACCTCACGGCCCTTCATCCTTCCTCTGCTCCGCAGCGTGTTCCCCTGCCGTCCCCTCCTGCGTCTTCTCTGCCTGACTTTCCAGACCCTGAGTCTGACCGCATTCGTGCTGCTCACCCTACTGTCACGCGTCTGCTTGCCACTGTTGTCACTGACCCTTCGTTTGAGTCCACTGCTGCGTCTGCCTTAGTCGCTGAGCTTGTTGACTTTGCTGCTGCCTGTCGTCTAGACTACGTTGCTAGTCTTGTTGCTTAGTCTGAGTCTGTCTGTCCTCCGTCCGTCGGGGGTGAGTGTGCTCTTGGCATGGACGTCCTTGAGGACAGGCACGAGGACCTTGAGTGTCTTGCAGCCGCTGCGCCTCATCTCGTGGCCATGCTGCTTGCCCCTGAGGGAGACCCGGATGCTGTAGACATCCCGACCCCGCACTCTTACGCTGAGGCGATCGTGGGTGAGTACTCCTCTCAGTGGCAGGCAGCCATGGACGCAGAGATGGCATCCTGGAAGTCCACATGCACTTACGTCGATGAGGTTCCCCCTCCCGGGGCGAACATCGTCGATGGCATGTGGATTTTCAGGGTGAAGCGGCCGCCGGGTTCTCCGCCTGTCTTCAAGGCTCGCTACGTTGCTCGAGGCTTCAGTCAGCGAGAGGGAGTTGACTTCTTCCAGACCTTCTCCCCCACCCCGAAGATGACCACTCTTCGGGTGCTGCTGCACGTTGCCGCTCAGCGTGACTACGAGCTTCACTCTCTTGACTTCAGCACAGCCTTCTTACAGGGCAGCCTGCACGAGGAGATTTGGCTGCGCCGCCCACCTGGCTTCACTTGGTCGTTCCCTCCTGGTACCCAGTGGAGCCTCCGGCGGCCAGTCTACGGTCTCCGCCAGGCACCTCGTGAGTGGCACGACACACTGAGGACGACACTTGCGGCTCTTGGGTTTGCTCCTTCGACTGCTGACCCGTCGCTGTTTCTGCGCACTGACACTTCGCTGCCGCCGTTCTACATCCTCATGTACGTCGACGACTTGGTCTTTGCCACTGCTGACACTGAGGCTCTCGCCCTGGTGAAGTCGGAGCTGCAGAAGAGACACACGTGCACAGACCTGGGTGAGCTGCGTAGTTACCTTGGCTTGCAGATCACCCGGGACCGAGCACGTCGCACCATCACACTGACTCAGTCACACATAGTGCAGCAGGTCCTTCAGCGCTTCGGCTTCACCTGGTCCTCGCCACAGTCCACTCCTCTGGCTACAGGTCACTCGCTCTCAGCTCCACCTTCGGATGAGTCCGTAGAGCCGAGTGGTCCTTACCCAGAGCTAGGGGGCTGGCTCATGTACCTGATGACCTGCACTCGTCCTGACCTTGCATACCCTCTTGGCCTTCTGGCACGCTACGTGGCTCCTGGTCGGCACCGAAAGGTGCACATGGATGCTGCGAAGAGGGTACTGCGCTACTTGTGTAGTACATCGGGCATGAGGCTCGTGCTTGGAGGGCGGAGTGAGGTTGTCCTCACTGGGCACTCAGACGCTTCTTGGGTTGACGACCTGGCTACGCAGCGGTCGTCACAGGGTTACACTTTCAGCCTTGGCTCCGGCTCTGTTTCTTGGCGGTCTACTCGCTCGTCTTCTGTTCTCAGCTCCAGTTGTGAGGCTGAGATCTACGCCACAGCCATGGCTGCACATGAGTTACGCTGGCTCACCTACCTGCTGACCGACTTGGGAGAGCGACCTCGTTCTCCTCCAGTTCTGTACGTCGACAACAAGGCCGCCATTGCCTTGTGTCAGGAGCACAGACTGGAGCACAGGACGAAGCACATCGCTCTGCGTTACTTCCTGGCAGTGCTTGTGAACTGGCCTTGTGGCCCTTTGCTTGTGCTCAGTGTGTGTGGTGACGTTGTGATCCACCCTGAGCTTGCTTTGCTCTTCTTGACTGGTCTTGTGACCCCTTGCTCTGTTAGAATGAGAGAAGTTGTGTGCACTAGGAAAATGGTTGGGTACAAGTAGGAAACCCTAAACATGTTGTACCCCATAGTAACTACCCCACTACAGCCTAAACAAACTGTAGCAGATATAACATTTGACACACCCCCATAGGCAAAGTGGGGGAGAGCAAGGGGTCACAAGACCAGTCAAGAAAGGCAAAGCAAGCTCAGGGTGGATCACAACGTCACCACACTCACTGAGCACAAGCAGAGGACCACAAGGCCAGTTCACATACAGGGGCATACATGTAACACAAACATCATAGTGATCTCCGCCTAGCAAAGCAAGCATGCAGAATATATATATAGATCACAGTACAAGTAAAGCCTACAGCAAGTGAGGAAATGTGGGCACAAGCCCTAGCACAGTGGAGAAACGCTGATGATCACCAGACTGAAGTGCCTTGGTGAATATATCAGCAGTGTTGGCCCGAGTGGCCACGAAGCTGACCACGCTGCTGCAACTCTCGAGCTAGGAAGTAACGCAGAGCGATGTGCTTCGTTCTGTGCTCCAGTCTGTGCTCCTCACACAAGGCAATGGCAGCCTTGTTGTCGACGTACAGAACTGGAGGAGAACGAGGCCGCTCTCCCAAGTCGGTCAGCAGGTAGGTGAGCCAGCGTAACTCCTGTGCAGCCATGGCTGTGGCGTAGATCTCAGCCTCACAACTGGAGCTGAGAACTGAAGACGAGCGTGTAGAACGCCAAGAAACTGAACCAGAGCCAAGACTGAAGGTGTAACCCTGCGACGACCGCTGCGTAGCCTGGTCGTCAACCCAAGAAGCGTCTGAGTGCCCAGTGAGGACAACTGAGCTCATCCCTCCAAGCACGAGCCCCATGCCTGATGTACTGCACAAGTAGCGCAGTACCCTCTTAGCAGCATCCATGTGCACCTTTCGGTGCCGACCAGGAGCCACGTAGCGAGCCAGAAGGCCAAGAGGGTACGCGAGGTCAGGACGAGTGCAAGTCATCAGGTACATGAGGCAGCCAACTAGCTCTGGGTAAGGACCACTCGGCTCTACGGACTCGTCCGAAGGTGGAGCTGAGAGCGAGTGACCTGTAGCCAGAGGAGTGGCCTGTGCCGAGGACCAGGTGAAGCCGAAGCGCTGAAGGACCTGCTGCACCATGTGTGACTGAGTCAGAGTGATGGTGCGACGTGCTCTGGGTGATCTGCAAGCCAAGGTAGCTGCGCAGCTCACCCAGGTCTGTGCACGTGTGTCTCTTCTGCAGCTCCGACTTCACCAGGGCGAGAGCCTCAGTGTCAGCAATGGCAAAGACCAAGTCGTCGACGTACACGAGGATGTAGAACGGCGGCAGCGAAGTGTCGGTGCGCAGAAACAGCGACGGGTCAGCAGTAGAAGGCGCGAACCCAAGAGCCGCAAGTGTAGTCCTCAGTGTGTCGTGCCACTCACGTGGCGCCTGGCGGAGACCGTAGACCGGCCGCCGGAGGCTCCACTGGGTACCAGGAGGAAACGGCCCAGTGAAGCCAGGAGGATGGCGCAGCCAGATCTCCTCGTGCAGGCTGCCCTGCAAGAAAGCTGTGCTGAAGTCAAGAGAGTGAAGCTCGTAGTCACGCTGAGCGGCAACGTGCAGTAGCACCCGAAGAGTGGTCATCTTCGGTGTGGGGGAGAAGGTCTGGAAGAAGTCTACTCCCTCTCGCTGACTGAAGCCTCGAGCAACGTAACGCGCCTTGAAGACAGGCGGAGAGCCTGGCGGCCGCTTCACCCTGAAAATCCACATGCCACTGACGATGTTCGCCCCAGGAGGGGGAACCTCGTCGACGTAAGTGCCAGTGGACTTCCAGGATGCCATCTCTGCATCCATGGCTGCCTGCCACTGAGAGGAGTACTCACCCGTGATCGCCTCAGCGTAAGAGCGCGGGGTCGGGATGTCTGGTGCATCCGGGTCTCCCTCAGGTGCAATCAGCATGGACACGAGATGAGGTACAGCAGCGGCAAAGCACTCAAACTCCTCCTGCCTGTCCTCAAGGACGTCCGTGCCAAGAGCACACTCACCCCCGACGGACGGAGGACAGACAGACTCAGACTCAGCAACAAGACTAGCAGCGTAGTCTAGACGACAGGCAGCAGCAAAGTCAACAAGCTCAGCGACCAAGGCAGACGCAGCAGCAGACTCAAACGACGAGTCAGTGACAACAGTGGCTAATAGACGCGTGACAGTAGGGTGCTCAGTATGGAACCGGTCAGACTCAGGGTCCGGAACGTCAGGCAGAGAGGACACAGGGGGAGACGGCAAAGGAACTGACTGCGCAGTAGAGGAAGGACGACGGACTACGAGGTGTGCGCCGGGGACAGCCGGCTGACGCGGACGAGCAACACGACGACTGGTACGACCAGAACGAACAGGCGAGACAGGACGCGGCGCAGGCTCACGACGCTCAGCAAGACCCCCTGCCTGCTCAGTGTAAGGGGAAGGAGCAGGCAGCGGTGAGCCAGGCTGTAACGGGAGACCAGTAGAAGACGGGAGACTAAGAACTTGACGAAGTACAGAGTCAGGCGGTGGCTGAGACGACGGAGACGGCGGAGCGAAGAACAGTCGCGGCGGTGCAGTGCCACCAGCACCAGCAGCTCCAGTACCTCCAGCCGCAGCGTCTCCAGCAGCAGCACCCCCAGAACCGGCACCTCCAGTCCCAGGGTCCCCAGCCTCAGTGCCTCCAGCAGCAGCACCCCCAGAACCAGCACCTCCAGTCCCAGGGTCCCCAGCCTCAGTGTCTCCAGCAGCAGCACCCCCAGACCCAGGGTCTCCAGCCGCAGTGTCTCCAGCAGTAGCACCCGCAGGCTCAGCACCTCCAGCCCCAGCAGCTCCAGTACCTCCAGGACGAGCACCTCCGGGACCAGTAACTCCAGTAGACAAAGGACCAGTACCACTCCCAGCTCCAGCAACGTCAGCAGCAGCACCTCCAGCGGCAGAACTCCGAGCTCCAGAAGCGCGACCCTGACGGCGACCGTACCAGTCGTGGAGCTGCTGTGACGTGAGAGGCACACGCGGACGAAGGCGGCTACTCCAAGGAGACCGCGCAACAGCAGACTCAGAACCCTCAGCGCCAGCACCCGCAGCAGCTCCAGAACCTCCAGCGCCAGCACCCTTAGCAGCTCCAGCTCCCCCAGGCTCAGCACCCCCAGTCTCAGCACCCCCAGGCTCAGCACCCCCAGGCCCAGCACCCCCAGGCTCAGCACCCCCAATCTCAGTACCCCCAGGCTCAGGACCCCTAGTCTCAGCACCCCCAGACACAGTACCCCTCGAAGGACCAGAGTCGACAGCTACCTCGACAGGCTCGACCGGGTCTACCTGGGAAACACCTGAGGGAGCAGGACCCCGGGGAGGGAGGGGGTCTACCGAAGGGACACCTGGGGTGAGGAAGAGCGGCGGGGGGGGAAGCGGCGCAGTGCGGTAGGGGAAGAGACGGTAAAAGGGTACCGACTCGTCAAAAGTGACGTCCTGAGAGGGGAAGACACGGCGCGAGGTGGGGTGGTAAAACTGCCAGCCAGGCGCGTCAGGGACAAAGCCAAGGAAGACACAGGGAACGGCACGGGAGGAGAGCTTGTCCGCGGACGTATCGCGGACAAAGGGTCGACATCCCCAGACCCGGAACACCGACGCATCGCCAACCTCCCCCGTCCAACGCAGTGTGGGCGAGGTCTCCGGAGCAGAGACCCGGGGCCAGAGGTTGAGCTGATGCGCGGCGTACTGCACTGCAAACGGCCACAGGAAATGGGGGGCAGCCGCATGGATCATGGAGGTACGAGCGACCTCCATGACTAAGCCAATGCGGTGCTCAGCAACCCCATTCTGCTGAGGAGAGGCCGGAAGTGTGAACGTCTGGCGGATGCCGTGCTCCGCACAGAAGGCTGCCAAGAGGTCGGAGGAAAACTCACCACCCCTGTCAGAGTGCAGACGCAGGACGGGAAAGTCCGACTGGAACCGCTCGCGGAGCTGGAGACGAGTAGCGCGGATCCAAGGGATCAAAACATCAGGGACCTCACCCTTGGTGCGCAAGGGGAAGACCGTGGTGTAGCGCGTGTAGTCGTCGACGACCAGCAGGAAGTACCGCTCGTGGCCCTGTCCACAGACGCGGGCTGGGCCCCACACGTCCAGGTGGAGAGTCTGCAGGGGAGCCTCTGTGGGAGGGAACGAGGAGGAGTGAGGAGCGGCGCGCTGCTGCCCCTCGACACAGGGAAGACAGGGAGGAGCAGGCGAGGGTGGGAGGGGAGGGAGAACCCTGGGAAGACCAGAGACAAGGTACCGGGAGTGCATGCCACGAAGGCGCTGCACTGAGGGGTGACCAAGGCGGTGGTGCCAGAGGACGGTCTGGTGCGACAGGGTGCGACACGAGCAGGGGGCCGACAGCTGACCTGACGCAGACGCAGACGCAGCTACTTGAGGGGACTCAGTGGTCAGTGTGTACAGGTCTGACCCCCGCTGCCGAGTGAAGGTATTTAGGTGGCGACCCGTCCGAGCACACGTACAGTGGGTCACACGCTCATAGGCAGGGGTGAACTGGTGAACACTCCCGTACTGGAGAGCAGAGCCCGCCACCAAGTTCGTAGAGAACGAGGGGAGGTAAAGACCCGACAGGGTGCCGGCCGGAACCGCAGGACAAGGGAGAACAGTGGAGGAGGTCGCAAGGACCGGGCCCCCAGAGGGGTCAGCAAGGGAGACAGCAACAGGCCGAGCTAGCGGCTCAAGGACAGTGCGGTCACGAAAGAAACAGCGGGAAGCACCCGAGTCCAGTGTGAAGGTGTGCAGTGCCTCAGTAGACGCAGTACCAGCAGGCGTAGACGCACGAGCACCTGGAGCAGCAGACTCACTAGCACCTAGAGCAGCAGCCTCACCAGGACCTATGGCAGCAGACGCACTAGCACCTAGAGCGGCAATCTCACTGGTCCCAATACCCGGGTCGGGCGGTACACGCAGGTAACAGTCAAGGCATACATAGCACCAAGGATAGCATCAAAATCAAGAGCAAAGATATCAATGTTCTTTTTAAGCAGATCAGCCCAGCTGGGCAGCTCAGAGGCGTCAGGGAACTGCTCGCGCTAGGCGTCGTCGAGACGAAAGAAGCAGCGATGCGCCGTGTGAAACCTCCCACAGGTCTGGCCAGTGCGGTCACCCGTGCGGATGACGTACGGGCCGGTACCTCCACCCCCAGACCCCCCACGCTGAGAGTACCACTCACGGAGCTGCTGGGGCAACGGGGTCTTGCTGGGACGCTGCTGCTGCTGCCTCTGGCCACCGCCGATCCCCCGACGCTGCATCGCTCCACCGCGCCCGCCACCAGCTCCACTGCCGCCACCACTGCCACCACCACCCCCGCCACCGCCGCCGCCACCACCCCCGGCTCCGCCACTGACCCCCCCACCACCAGCACCACTCCCACCACCGCCACCACCCCCGCCGCCTCCACCCCCTCCACCACCGCCGCCCCTGCCGCCACCCCCGCCACCCTTGCCCCCCTTGCCCCTGCCACCCTTGTGCCTCCCACTAGGAGCAGACGCAGCCCCGACCCCCTCTGCTCCGAGGTAGTCGACAGCAGCAGCAGATGCAATGGAGGGGAGGAGGGGGACGGGGGAGCACCCCTCAAAGAAGGGAGTGCGAGGGTCACCACGAGAGGCACCTACAGCTACAATGCTCTTCTCAGCTGCTAGGAGTTCCTTCTCGAGCAGGTCGAGAGTGAGGTCGGTGGGGGAGAGGGCGAGAAAGTGGTCCCTGACAGCGCGAAGAGAGTCAGGGAGGCGGGTGACTAGGTGGTAGAGTGTGAGGTACATCGGGGGAGGGTTCTTGGCTAGGAAATCGGGGGGAAGCGCGGCACGGTAGCGAAGATCACTAGTACGGAGGTGGGTGATGAGGTCAGCTACAGTGGCAAAGGCAGACAGATCGGGGAAGAGATAGGGCAGTGAGAGACGGCCTATCGCAGCAGTAGCAGGGGAGGAGTAGCGTGCAACTACTGCGTCGTACAGCTCTTTAGCGGTCTTATGCTGGCCAAAGTGCGCGCGCTCATCTAACGGCAGGTGGCTGCGAACGGCTAGGCGAGCATGAGCGTCACGGGTCTGCCACTGTGAGCGAGCAGTGCTGCCAGCAGCAGCAGCAGGTGCGGGAGCGGCGCCGGACATGTGGTCAAACAGGGAAACATCGTCCTTGGCAGTGATCTGGAGGAACAGGTGCAGGTCATCGAGCCAAACGTCAAACTTAATCGGACGGCCCTCAGCGTCAAAAGTGAGAACGGTAGGACTGGCCATGGTGGCAGCAGTAGCAGTAGCAGCAATAGCAGTAGCAGTAGTAGCAGAAACAGCAGTAGCAGTAGCAGCTGTAGCAGTAAGAACAGCTGTAACAGTAGGAACAGGAGCAGCAGTTGCTGCAGGTGGGGCGGCGCGGCTCGGTAAGGGCGGCGCGACTCGGGCAGGACGGCGCGGCGCGGCACGGGCAGGTAGGGCGGCGCGACGGCGGGCCTATGCACGGTGCGTGGTGCCGCCTAGGGTGCGGCCACGCGCAGGCCGCGGCTATTTTCGTGCGGCGGCTAAGCGCGAGCTACAGCAGCCGACGCGCGATCGCCGCTGCGCACGGGCTGTGACCTGCGGGCGGGCGGCGGCGGGTCGAGCGTCGACCTAGGGGCGAGCGGGGCCTACGGGCGACGGCCTACTGGCACGCGCGAGAAAAATCGGGCCGCGCTCTGGCGGCTAGCAGGCCGCTCGCGCTAAGAACGTGGGGCCGCGCTTGGGCTGCTAGCGGGCTGCAAACGGGCAGCGTGAGAGAGAGGGCGCTCGAGGGCGCACTAGGAGAGAGGCACACGAGGGCGCTACGACGTTGGGGGCGCACGAGGGCGCCTCTGGCGGATTGGTGGGCCCTTAGCTAAGTGGTCCTAGGTTCCTAACCTAGGCTCGTAATACCATGTTAGAATGAGAGAAGTTGTGTGCACTAGGAAAATGGTTGGGTACAAGTAGGAAACCCTAAACAAGTTGTACCCCATAGTAACTACCCCACTACAGCCTAAACAAACTGTAGCAGATATAACATTTGACATGCTCTTCTGACAACGCGCCCCGAGCGCGTGGCGGGTAGAAAACCGCCGCGCGCCCCGAGTGCGCGGCGGGAAGAAAAAACGCCGCGTGCAGCGAGCGCGCGGCAGGTAGAAAACGTCGCGCGCCCCGGGCGCGCGACAGGCAGGACAGCAGCGGAAGCAAGTGGGCCCACAGGCCAGGAGCGTTCTCGCTCTGATAGCATGTCGAGAAACGCTAACAAAGTTAGAAAAATAAAAGAGAGGGTTGCACTAGCAGCAGATAGGATACATATAGCAAACCCTAATTTGGGCTGTACTCACTATAGAGTACCCCACTGCAGACTAGACAATTATAGCATTCTAACAGAGGTGACGATGCAACCGGACGAGGTGACGACGCAGCCGGACGAGGTGACGACGCAGCCGGACGAGGTGACGACGCAGCCGGACGAGGTGACGACGCAGCCGGACGAGGTGACGATGCAGCCGGACGAGGTGACGACGCAGCCGGACGAGGTGACGAAGCAGCCGGACGAGGTGACGACGCAGCCGGACGAGGTGACGAAGCAGCCGGACGAGGTGACGAAGCAGCCGGACGAGGTGAAGCAGCAAGAGGGGATGGAGAAGTCGCACGGGGGGACGGCGGAGGAGGGGGCGGAGAGGCAGCAGCCGACGGAGGCAGAGAAGAGGCTGCAGGAGGAAGAAGAGAAGATGAAGAAGCAGCAGGAGATGAGCAGGCTTCAACAGGAGGCGTCCTACAAGGCTATGCTGGCACACCAGGAGAATGAGCGGCAGAAAGAGCTGTAGAGGCAGGAGAAGCTGAAGCAGCAGCAGGAACAGGACAGGCTGGAGCTGGAGCGGCCCGAGTTGAAGCAGCAGCGGCTGGAAAAGGAGAAGGAGTTGAGCCGGCTTCAACAAGAGGCATCGATGAAGGCCTTTCAGGAATACCAGGAAAGGCAGCGACAGGAGGCGCTGCAGAAGAAGCAGCAGCAGCAGTGACGGCCGGGATGGAGCATGATGCGCTGCGTCCTGCAGGCAAAATGATTGTACCCCCCCAGGGATAAAGGATTGTCAAGATAGGTTGCTAGGGTTTAGTCTTAGGAGCCATGCTAGGAGGTAGAGTGTCGAGGGAGTTGGCAATGAAAGAGGACTTCACTATAGAGTCAAGGGTACAAATATGATAGGAAAGGGGGTAATCCACCAAACAGAATGTGATAACTACACTACTGCTATATCTACATGCAGTTACAGTAATATAACTCTGACATTCCCCCTTAACTGCATGCAGGAATAGCAAAGCATAAATCACAACCTGCAAGTGTACTGAAAGCATTAGCACGCAAGAGCAATGACAACCAGTGCAGCAGTGGCAGAAACAACTGCAGAAACCCCTTAGCCAATACAGAAACGAAAGAAAGGTGCATGTGGCGCAGGTCGCCTGGAGAGCGGCGTGCGGCGGCAACGAGCGGCGGCACAGCAGGCTCAACGGCAGCACCTGCCGCTCAACAGCAGCAAACGAAAGAGACGAATTAAGTGGCAACAGGGGCTGCAGCTGGAGGTGCCACAGTAGCAGGGGGTGGCAGTTGCAAATGCAGGGCTGCTGCTTCTGCCACTCTCTCTCATACCCTCCCTCATCCCCCCTTACCCTCTCTCCCCCCCCCCCCCCCCACAGCAACAAGTGCTGCAGGGAGAGAGGAAGAGGGAAGGGAGGGAGGAGCGGCAGGCTCCTCACACCCGCCCCCCCCAAACCCCCCCCCCCCTCCACGACGGAAGGGAGGGCGGGTGGGAAGGGCGGAATCACCCGCTGCCGGCGCTGGCGTGGGCTGCTGGCGCTGGGACCCGGCCCCGGCGCTGGCGCTCGTCGCTGGTGCTTGTGCTGGTGCTGGCGCCCGCCGGCGCTGGCGTCCGCGGCGACGAAACGGGGGGCCCCGGCGCGTCGAAACGGGTGGCCGCGGGGCGACGAAACGTGGGGGGCCGCGGGGCGACGAAACGGGGGCCGCGGGGCGACGAATCGAGGGCCGCGGGGCGACGAAATGGGGGGCCGCGGGGCGACGAATCAGGGGCCGCGGGGCGACGAAATGGGGGGCCGCGGGGCGACGAATCAGACGGGCGCAGGGCGCGACGGGACGAAGAAAATAGCGCATTTCGCGCTGCATTAAGGGCGGGCCCATGTTTCTGAAAAAAAAATGAAGGTTCTAGGAAAGAACCAGCTCTGAAACCATGTCAAGATAGGTTGCTAGGGTTTAGTCTTAGGAGCCATGCTAGGAGGTAGAGTGTCGAGGGAGTTGGCAATGAAAGAGGACTTCACTATAGAGTCAAGGGTACAAATATGATAGGAAAGGGGGTAATCCACCAAACAGAATGTGATAACTACACTACTGCTATATCTACATGCAGTTACAGTAATATAACTCTGACAAGGATGCCCACGTGCAGGGGATATATATTTGCCAGGCTGATCGTTTTAATCTGCATGGAAGAAAAGCTCTGGAAGGTGGTGGATGAAATCAGAAAGAGACCAGAGCAAGGGTCTTTGGTTAGGAGGGAGAGAAGGGGACGATGTGAGTCAAGCCCATAGATATGCAAGTCAAATATTGTGTGTGGTGGGGGACGGGGAAGGGGGGAAATAGGTTAGGGTGGTATGTTTGCATTTTGAAGTTTGCTGACAACCAATTTGAATTTGTGTTGTTACACTTTTTGAAAATGTAACGAGGACCCTCGTCGTGAGTCGTTTCCGCAGTCGCCGTCCACCCAAGACGAAATTCTCCGCATTTTCGTTCGCCCGCGAAAGTTGTTCCAACAGAACCAGCATTCACGAGTAGAAACTATCTAACCGAAAACAAAGTTACAGAAACCGGCGAAGCACTAGCCCAACCGGCGAAACATGCCTCAACTCCACGAAAAAGGCGCGATTTCTTACCCATCCCAACCAAGGCCCGCGCTCCATCCACAAATCAGATCCCAAATTCCCGATACAGAAATCATGATTGCATTTACTCTCAATCCTCCTTACTGCATCACAACACCTCTGGTGCTCGGACGGGACCTCGCACTTGCTGTTTTTTTCCGGCTTGAGTATCCGATCTGCGAGTGATTATAACGCTGACAAGCTTTTACGCGAACCGGGGATCATGTCGGCGAAGCTGCTGCCAGTGGGCGAGGTGGTAACCCGACTGAACCTGCAGCCGCACCCGGAGGGGGGGTTTTACGCTGAGACGTTCCGCGACACGCGCGTGCAGCTATCCCTGGAGAACCTGCCTCCGGGCGAAGGATGTAAGAAATAGCGAGGTGGTAACACTGTAACATTGGGGTTTTACTCGGAGATTCGCGAAGCGCGTGCAGCCATCCCTAGACATCCTGCCTCTGGGCGCGTGTTAACACTGTAACATAGGTATAGGAAGGACTTTACTGAGACGTTCATAGAGACGAGGGGGTAACATTGTAACACTGCCTCAGAACCTGCCTCCCGGCAAAGGATGTAACATTGTAACACTGTAGATTGGTTGACGTTGTAGGTGGGTAACATCGACAAAGGCCAGTTCAAACTTTACGAAATTTGTGACATTGTGGTAACCTGCTCGCTCCAGCCTCCCCCCCTTTCCTCCTTTGTTTCGACTCTACTCCCCTGTTTACCATTTTCCCCCCTCTTCTTATTCCATTTGGTTCATTGGGCAGTCAAGGTGGGCAGGCCGGTCAGCACCTGCATTTATTTTCTTCTGCCCACGGGCAGCGTGTCTCACCTCCATCGCATGCCCTCCTCCGAAATCTTTCACCACTATGCCGGTGACCCGCTCACGGTTAGTTCCCCTCCTCTTCCCCTCTACCCCTCCCCCTGCCTCCGTCAATTCGTATCGTCTAATGTTTCACCACTTTACCGAAGTCCCACTCACGGTTAGTTAGTTTCCCTCATCCCCCCCTCTCCTCCATTCCTCCCCTCTGCTCCTCCCATCACTTGTGAGTGGACTCATTTCATGTGCTGCTCCTTCTGCCCCTCTGCTCTTATTGACTTTTGAGTCGACTCAAAAGTCTTTTGATTCGACTCAAAAGTCACTCAAAAGTCGACTCAAAAGTCACTCAAAAGTCGACTCAAAAGTCACTCCGTTCCTCCCCTCTGCT